ATCTTGATTTGGAAGCAATGTCAAAGGCAAAGAAGAGATATTGAATTAGGTCTTTAGGCAATGATAAATAATGGTTGTCATGTTATGACTTCTTGATTATATACATTTCAATGAGCAACTTATACTTGATTCGATTGATTTTTTTAAAAATGAATCAAGAGAACATTCTAAGGCCCTGTTTGGGAGGAATTAAATTTTTCTACAGTAAATCAATTCTCATTTTCAACTACACATTCTTCAATAAAATAATATTTTCCATCACATCAATAATTTTTTCTTCTTTTTCAACCACATATTTCCCATCATATCACTATTCAAAATCAATTCTTCCCCAAAAAATCTCTCACAAACAAGCTCTAAATGAATTTGACTTTATTTTTTATTTGGAGACAACTCTAAGAGATTATCACTATTTCGATGTGAGTACCACTAATATGATATGTATTTAATATCATATGTACGTAATAAAAAAAATTGTTTACACTTAAATACAACCGTGAAGCAATAGAGTGTATAAAAAGAGAAGGGAGTACCAACACGTAACGAGAAAGAAATGTGAGAAATATTTGAAGAATAGAGTTGTATAGAATTTTCGAGATAATTAGAGGAAGTTCTCACTAATTTTTAAGGTCGAATATTTTCTTCTTACTCTAAATTTTATTATTTCGGGTATGAATATGCATGTAGAATGGAACTATATAATTATTATCATTCAATTAGTTTGAAATGGGGTTTTTAGCACTTGTTTGAAACTGATTTTTTTTTAAATCATTTTTTCGTCATATTATTTACAACCACACATTCTTCAAAAAAATCATTTGTTATATTTCTTTATGACTTCTTCCTTCTTTTTAATCATACATTATTCAATAAAATTACTTCACAAAATCATTTCTCAAAAATCAACTTCACATAAGGGCTGGATTCAATTTGAGCATGCCATGGTTGGTAAATATTTGATTTGGTTGAGCGATGATGATTGTTTCATTTGTTCACCGATCTAAGTAATTTTAAGTTGTTTTATCGTGTTGGCAAAAGTTAATCGTAGAGAAGTAACTTTGAAAAGACGTTTCTCTCTTTCCAATAAAGTAGAAGCTAACGTCTCCGATGACACCATTCTCTTCCATAGATACAATACCAATAATAACAAAGTTTTATTCTTAATAAATTTGAAGTCGACTATAAATCTTTATTTGTCATTCTGCTCAATTTATCGCTAAATCTACTCCCATACAACGTGTCGTTGGTGGGGGCACATTCAAATGAAATGTTTATTATAAAATTCATATTATAAGATGTGACATTGTCTATCAATTTGACGCATCCCTCTTCTTTTAATCAAGTTTGAGACCAACTATGAAAAGTAATTTTAAAAAAACCCTATAAAGTAATTAAAAAAAAATTCATATAAGGGACTTGAAATATATTAAGAATAAATATTACTTTGAACTCAACCCAAACATGCTTTAATGAACATCAACAATTTAATTTATCATTAATTAATTTACACACACTATCTTAAAGTTTGAAACTCTTATGAATTCACCAAATGGTACCTTAGTAGTAGTAAAAATAATTATTTATCGAATCCCAATAATTGTTTGAAGGGGACCGGTAATATGATATGTTAATTAATTAAATAAAGGCTAGAGAGAATAAAGGTCGGTTGGTCTCATCTGTGACCACCCTACAAAGGCAACATGTTACTCTGTATAATTATTTTTTGGTGTATTTAAATTATATTATATAGTTAAAAAAAAGTACATTTATTTATTAAGTTGGCTTGTTTGTTTGTAGAAATAACGAGGGTCGAATCAACTTTCTTTTTTTCAAAATTTTATTATAAGATATTCGAAACGTCTGAATGCGATCAGGTCATCGTATACGCAATTTTCAAAAATTCGTAATTTATTAAAAATCGGCCCTGAAAAATTTGTATGTGTGACTTGAAATTATAACTATTAAACGTAATCGAGGTATCTTTGTGCAACTTGATACATGAAAGTGTACATTTAGTCATAAAATAAGAAAGAACTAAATGGTGATATTATATCTTTCATTTTAGTCGAACATATCATTATGCAGACTTAAAGGGGAACCACTAGTGTTACAAAGTAATTAATAATTAAAGATTAATTGACTAATCACCAACCAAATTCTAGCAATGGTACTCAATTAGTGGGCAAATAATAATATGATATATAGGCCCATAAAATAAGTTGCTCACAGTCACGTGATATGATCGTGCACATTGCCATTTCCAATATCTTTACTGTCGCGTGGGTGCCCTATAAAGCAAATTTAATAACATATTTACATGTTGATAATAGAGTGTAAATGTGTATATTGCATTTATCTTATTTGCGAGTTTAACACTAGTATTTATAAAGAAATAACTTGTACGGAGGGAAGTGTTGTTCCCTTTCGTGAATCTTGCTCCTTCCTTTGGTGCGATAAGTTCTAATACGTAAGTAGTGATATGAAAACATCATTGATTGTCCATTATTCAACTTTATTGCCACTTTGTAGAGTGGGTTAGTGGGTAGACTTGATCAAATGGTCATGCCGAATAATCTCGACCTTTTGATTTTGCTCGACATATGAATCTTTAGTTGTGAAGAATTAATAGGAGGAGTTTATCATCTACTCGGTCTAGCGGTAATTGGGTTGCTTGAACAAGTATCACTAGAATGGTTGGATAACCACATGTTGGACGAGTTGGAGAGAGCTTCTTATCCAGAGAATTTGGAGGGATTATGGATGACCAAACAATGAACCTCTAAATGGTGAGACAATCATCTCCTAAAGAACAATAAGGATCCATTTGATTGGTTTAAATTTCATGAAAAATGTCACATCTGATGAATTCAATTTCTACTTTCACTGTTTGATACGAAAGTGGAAATGTAGTTCGAATTCCAAGATACAACCACTTTAAACTTTTTTTTTTTTTCCAATTTCATGAAAAATGCATTTTTATGGAGTACTTGAATTTTTGTTTTCCAATTTACATGAAATTAGAAATCATTTCCATCTTTTCCAATTAAACGGACCCTAAAATTATTGATATCGGGGTTCTATCTTAAAAGATCAATACTATTAAGGAAATTGATCTAAGTTATATATTGGTTATTGGTTTTTTTTTTTTTTTTTAAGTGAGATTTATCTTTTAACATGTCCTCACAAGATTATGATTCAGTTGAGAATATCAATGCTGACATTAAATTACTCGTTTGAATTTAAGGGTCAAATATCATATTAGGCCTAGAGGTATCAATTCGGGTGGTCCGGGTAGGGTCGGCTCGCCAACATATGAGCTCAGTAACGGTCCGCATGAAAAAAAGTCCGCCCGCTACGGGTTCCTAGTCTGGTTCCGGGTCGGCCCACAAATTTTGGACTATAACCCAGGCTTGCCCGCTGACCCATCCGGGTCAAGCCCATGCATGTCATTGGTCGCGGTTTGTTCCGATTTGACCTGTATGATTGTATAAATAAAATTATAAAAATATAGAATTTTTCATATTTATTGCAAAAAATATTTTTTTTGTTCAATAAGAATTGAACAAAATGATAAATTCATATTTATACCAAGAAATGTTTACGTAGAATTCAAATTTAATGTTACATGAATTATTTATAACTTTACAAAGTTAAATTTAACTTAAACAAATAACAACTAAATGCATTTCTAATTACTATTATCAAATATTTATAGCATAAGTACATCCCAACTAGGTTGGCACCTACTTTTATTATAATTTATAGTTTAAGTAAATCTCAACTAGTAAATGATAAATTCATATTTATACCAAGAAATGTTTACGTAGAATTCAAATTTAATGTTACATGAATTATTTATAACTTTACAAAGTTAAATTTAACTTAAACAAATAACAACTAAATGCATTTCTAATTACTAAGTTGGTACCTACATTTTTTCAAATATTTTTAATTTTAATTTTTTTTCACGGGCCAACGGGTTAATCGCGGTCCATGAAGGTGCAACCCACGGAGCCCGCGGGTCATACCTCCTTGACCCATGAACCACCCGCTTGGGTCACGGGTTGGCCCTCGATCCCAGGTCTATCCGGGCCGATTTTTACGGGTCTGACCGGCCCGTCCGTCTTGACACCTCTAATTAGGTCTTGAATTTCATCTTAAAAGAGTCAATCATGTCATAAGCGGGGGGTAGTCTAATCTCTTATATCCTCGTTATTGATTTTATCTTCATCCAGTGAGAGATTTACTTGACAAAAGCATAATAGGCACAAGGACCAGCATTGGATGCATAGTAGCTCATAAGATTTATCAACCATCATTGTATAAAGAACAATATAAAAGAGTATGGAATTCGTCTCAACAAAATGATAGATAAAAGTAATTCATATTTTAGAAATTCATCTTAATTTTATAGTTGATTATTTTACTAATTTTTGCTGTGTTAGAGGAATGGAGTCTGACGCTGATTAATACAACTTCAAACCTACACGACATGTTTACTAGGTTTGATGGCGCGCGCGCACAAAAAGTAATTAAACTTACTTATATTACTTTCCTAAGAGACAAAAAGTCTTGGTTGGAAAATCATAGATTCTTCAATAAAATTAAAGGCGAGAAAGATTAAATAAATCACCTTTCCATATGGACTTCAAAAACTAGTTGCAAGTGGAGTATATAAATGAAGGGCTATATGCATCTAGGTAGCTACATTCTCAATACATTCTTTTCCTTATTTCCCACAATAGTTCCAATGGCATAGCCAATTAGGAGGGAATCGCACTGATTTTTCCCTCTGTAAGGACACAGATTTGAAGATATTAAGGTTTGGAAAATCTTTATTTATCTTATATGTTCTTTATACTTTATTATTATATTAAATACGAAAACTCTAAGTTTACATAATGAGATTTCATATATTTAGTAATGTTAAAACTTTCTTGTATTATTGTCTGTCTTGTTCAAGTTGTTCACTCTCCTCTTTGTGTCTGTTTGCAGCAGTCATGTGCCAAACGAGTAAATCTCGAGAGGTTGAACTTGGTAGTTTTGATGGCACTACTAGTACTGGTGACGATATTACAGTGGAGGATGAAACCAATATTAATGAAAGCAGAAATAAATCAAGAGAAGATGAATCTAGTCGTGACTTTTTCCGAAGAGTTCCGGTGAATAAGGTAACCCATACCCCCGTCCACCCCTATTCTTCTCATGCACATACACGCATGCACGAGCAGAAATACATACATACGCCACCACAAAAACTTTCGTTCTTCTAAGAAGTCAATTTTTTGCCACCAAGGTGCGTGACTAGTTCTAGTTGTGTGTCGCCATACATATAAGTATATATGAACTAGTTTAGGTAGCAATGGACCCCGTTTCCCCTTCGTTGGTGATCAGTTAGTATAACTCGAGGGAGGGGAGAGGGCCAGACAGGTACCAATTTTTGCTCTCTTTCTGGGTCAAAATTTTCCCGTCCATCTTCATCGATTTTCTATTATCAAGGAAAATATACGAAGGGTTGTCGTTTAATTTCGTACACAATAACAAACCTTCTCTATGATTTGACTTGGATCCATGATTTGATGGTTTAACAATCTTAGGGTTAAACCCCTTTACCAGGGCCTACGTGGCCCTGGTAATGTAGCATGATTCGCAATCTTAATACGGGCACGTTTCTTAGGCACTACTAGATTATATTTCCACTTTTTTCTTCCTTAAAACACGTAAAATGTGTTCATTCCAACGCAACAAACACGTTGACGCTGATGAAAATTCATGACTAAAGTCTATTTCATTTTTCTTTATTGTCTTTCTGATATGAAAATTTTGCCCTTTCGAAGCATGCAAAATGTCTACTCAGTTATTGGACCACTACAAGATTCTTATATAATTCAGTTGTCCGTACCTTAGATTTAGCACCATATTATAAAATTCTGGGGTTATTAGGTAGGTAAACTGAAACCTGGAATAAGGGTCCAAGAAACACAGTCATCTCCAGCACCAAACCTGTCAGCTACAAGTAACAATTGTTTAAACAAATCTGTGATTCATTGAAGTATCCTAATAACATTCACTACGCATACAAAAACTTTGTTCACATACTCGTTTCTTAAACATGTTAAGTCGAGTCTAATTCAGCACGTCAAACATGTCATAATGCAGGGACTTGGACATTTTTGCTTCAAGTGGCAAAAATTTCTTCCCTAACAACTTTGTGTAAATGAATGCAGGCAGCTGCAGAGTTACTCTCACTGGGGAAAATTGCCTGTCCTGTGGCACTAACAACATTTCTTTTCTACTCAAAGACAATAATCTCAATGCTTTTCTTGGGCCATATGGAGAAAGCTGAGCTTGCTGGAGGCTCTCTAGCAGTGGGATTTGCAAATATAACAGGATTTTCAGTGATGAAAGGCCTTTGCACTGGAATGGATCCAATTTGCTGCCAGGCCTTTGGAGCCAGGAGATGGTCAGTTCTCAGCCAGACATATATAAAAACCGTCCTCCTCCTGTTACTCGCATCCATACCCGTGGCATTGCTTTGGCTAAATGTCGAGCCTGTATTCCATCGACTAGGTCAGGACCGTATCATAACTAAGATTGCAAGAGGGTACCTCGTAATCTCACTCCCAGAGTTATTTACCCATGCAAACCTCGTGCCTTTGCGGACATTTCTAAGGACTCAGGGACTGAACTCCCCAAACACAATAGTCGCCACATGTGTGTCAATCCTTCACCTTCCTATCACCTACATCCTTGTAACATATTTGAATTTAAGGGTAAAAGGGATAGCATTAGCCTCTGTTATATATTCAATCAATGTCAATATCGGCCTTTTACTGTACTTGTTTTTCTCCAAGGAAGCCATAAAGCCATGGAATGGGGCTAGTTTTAGCTCAATATTCCAGGGCTGGTGGCCATTATTGAGCCTAGCATTACCAAGTTTATGTTCAGTGTGCCTCGAATGGTGGTGGTACGAGATTATTTTGTTCCTGAGTGGCTTATTATCCAATCCAGAGTCGTCTGTAGCAGCAATGGGAATCTTGATCCAGACAACAGGCACAGTTTATGTATTTCCATTTGCTCTCAGCCTGAGCATATCGCAGCGAGTTGGCAACGAATTGGGCGCAGGCGAGCCTGAGCGCGCACAATTAGCAGTCATGATTGGGATATGTATAGGTCTCGCATATGGAATTTCAGCCTTCGGGTTGAGTATAGCCTTCAAGTCCTTGTGGGGAAAATTGTTCACAAATGAGCCACAGGTTCTTGCTTTAATCTCAGCAGCCCTTCCAATCTTGGGATTAGCCGAAATTGGAAATGCTTCTCAAACAGCAGCCTGTGGTGCCCTTACTGGCTCTGCACGGCCTAAAGTCGGTGCACGAATAAATATTGCAGCGTTTTACTTGGTAGGCTTGCCATGTTCTGTTCTATTCACATTCAAACTGAAAATTGGATTCCAGGGACTCTGGCTGGGATCAGTAGCCTCACAGGCCGCGTGTTTAAGCATGATGCTGTACATTTTGGCGCAAACTGATTGGAGACACGAGGCGAAGAGGGCCGAGGAGCTAACATTGTCTGCCGGGGAAAAGGATGAAGGGGTCAACCTGGTGGCTTAATCTCCCACATTGAAGCACCAAGTTGACATAGCATATGAGGGCCATACATTTTAACTGAGTGTAAATCCTTTTTGTTGAGAATCGGGTCTATTGTTTGTAACTGGTGAAAAGAGGGGTAGAGTACATTGATTTATTTAATTAACTTGAATGATTAGTGGGGGGAGAATTCTTTATCTTACTAAAGTGTAATTTTGTTCTGATTTTTTTCTAAAAATCTGATTCTAAATCTAAATCATGTGCTGATACGAAATGACATCTGATGCTAATAGCTTATAAGAAATGTTCAAATGAAATTTTGTTCAAATTTCTAATTCTGAAACACAGAAAATAACTGTTTTGTACTCTATAACTAGGGCTGGACAAAAATCAATCCGAACCAGTCAAACCTATCAACTCAACCCAAACCAACCGGTTTGGGATTGATTTTTTAGTTCGATTGGGTTGGGTTCGGCTTAGGAAGTGGTAATTACAGGTAACCCTACTTTTCAAGATGTGAGTTCAAAATTCAGAATTAAAGTTTTAATATTCAAAAATCAGATTTTTTTATACATACACACAGATTTTTTAAATTTAATTAAATATTAATAATATTATTATAAAAATTAATTTATATACACATACCCCTCCTATCAACCCTAAATCACACATCTCTCATTCCCAATCCCCACCTCCACGCTGTGCCGGCGACCTCTCTCCACGCTACTACTGCTGCCGGAGACGCCTTCTCCTCCCCCCCCCTCCCCTTCTCCTTCTCCTCCCCATCACACATTGCTCTTCTTCTTTCTCTCTCCCTCAGTCTCTATTCTTCTCTTCCTCTCCCCGGTTCCGAAACCACCACAGTCGCCCACCACTACCGCACCCATAAAAGCTCTCCGTTCTCCCCTTTGCACCCCACCTCCACCAACACCGCACCGCACCACCAAAAAAAAAAAAAAGAATAACAACGGATCTGTACACCACTGGATCTGCACAATGTCGTCGGCCTCTGTACGCCACATCTCCACGAACACCGCACCGCACAACTCTACTGCACCACTCAAGAATTAAAAAAAGAAAAGAAAAGAATAACAACGTTTCTGCACATCGCTGGGTCTGTACAATGCCGCCGGACAAGGGTACGCCGTCTCATGTTGGGGTTTTGATGAAGGGTTTGTCGATGAATGCGGTGGCCATGGCTGGGATTTAATTAGGGCTTTTTATATGGATTCTCAGGATATTGAATTTGGTAATCTATGGTGGTTGTTTATGTCGGAATTTCATGTTTCCTTTTATAGGTCTCAGGATATTGAATTTGGTAATCCATGGTGGTGTTGTATGTGAGAGTGGGTGTTGTGTTGTTATTGTTGGTGGCGGTGAGCAGCGTTACTGACGGTGGTGCGGTGCTTTTAGAGTGGTGGAATGTGGTGTGGGTGTTTGTGACAATTTTATTGGTTGATTGAAATTCGTGACCAACTAGGACCGCATAATGGATTAAATGTGACCTTAAAATTCGACAATTTGTGACTAAATATTAATTTCAGCTCTGTGCAAAAATATTTTGTAATCTGTGCTGTCATCGTTTTAAAATAACCTGTGACTAAGAACAGATTTCTGATTTGTGACCTAGACTGTGACATGTGACTTTGGCTGTGACCTGGACTGTGACTTGTGACTTGGACTGTGACTTGGACTGTGACTTGTGACCTGGGCTGTGACCGTACAAAAAATTCATGTCATCGGAATAGGCGTCGGAATCGGAGCAGTCGCCGGAACAGTCACCGGAATCGGAGTGGTCGCCGGAGAAGTCGTCGGAATCGGAGACGTCGCCGGAGTGGTCGCCGGAGCAGTCGCCGGCGTGGTGGGGCGGTGGTGGTGGGGGTGGGTTAATTTTATATATTTATTTATTTATTTATATGTATAAATAAATATTTATATAAATGTGTATGTATAAGTCAAAATTTCTGATTTGTAAAATGTAAAAGTTGTTTTGTTATTTTTGAAATAGGGTAAAGATAAAGTAGGGAAAGTGAATTTTTCCCGCTTAGGAAATCAAATTTCAGATCGGGTTCAAATTGGGTTCTAAGTTATCTATTAAAACTCATCAAACCCAACCCAACCCAACCCAATAAACTAAAAAATATTAAAAAGAAAATTAGTACTTAAAACCAAAAACCTAATTATCAAAATTCTTCTCTGTCTCATGTCTCTTCTGTCTCTCATTGCTGCTCGTGCCTCGATTTCTCAATTGGATTTTTTGACGTAATTTTTGACTAAATACTTGGATTGAATGAGGAAATTTTGTATTGAGTTTGGATGATTTAACATTTTTAGTATTTATGTTGAATTCATTTTATTCAATAGGTGTAATATGCATGTATTCAACATATATTTAGATTGATGTAATATGTATTTAATTTTATCATGGTATAATCTATTTAACAGGTTTTACAATATTTTTAATTTATATTGTTCTATTGGAATTAAACATAACCCTACAGACCATTTATTCAACTTCAATCGACCTAAGATCTTTTAAATCACCATTTTTAATGTAGCTGAAATTCGTCCAAATTGAAATGGAATCAAACTTTAAAAAAATTGTTCAATTCAACAAAAAAGGCCACAACCATTGGACCCATAAAAAATTGTCCAACTTGAATTAGACTCAAGTCCAAACCAATCAACCAAACTCAAACCAACCTGAGTTTTGTCGGTTTGTATTGAGTTGGGTTTCAACCCTGAATGGATTGATTTCTGATTGAAATTTTGTCAAACCGAACATGTTGGGTTGGGTTGGGTTGGGTTGAGTTGGGTTTGGGTTGGATTCAAAACCAATCCAACCCAGCCCAACCCTATCTATAACCTTACTCGTCTTGGGGATACCAATTTTCGAAAACATTGTTGACGAAGAATTTGAAGTGAATCCTGCACATATGCAGTCCACACACGCGCACTATTAGTACTTTGTGGGTTGGGTCTTTCATTGGGCCAGTTAAAGATCATTTGATTAATATTCAAAGTGTTATGAGATTGTAGCAGGTTAACATATCAAGCAACATATCTATAATTCTTGTTACATATATATGACCACGTAAGAACCCAGAAAAGATCATTTGACATTAAAAGAAAGACCAATTGGAGATGACTATGAGATTGTAATTCTGGGCAATTTCAAACATATCTTGTTTTTTTCAAAGCTTCCTCCATTATTTGTGTAAGATCGAGCAAATCTGCAAGTACTTGTGTTATCACTATCAACAATTTTTGTGGCGATAGTAAGAGAAATAAAATGGAGACACGTTAAGATAATATTAGAGGGCCGACCTTTTAGCTTTCGAATTTTGTCCCTCATTGACAACCATTAAAATGGGGGGTTTTTTTTTTTTTTTATTAATTAAATAAATTAGATTATTTCATAATTTTAATTTTAAATCTCAAATCATTTTTAAAATCCATTAGCCCATTTTAATTTTAATCAAGTGAATATACTTTATATAGTTTTGCTGTAATATTAATATCTACTTTTTGGTATTTGTATGCTTTGAATTAATCTTATTGGATGGCTAGTTATGTATATATTTTTGAATTGGGTTATGTTAATTTGTAAAAGTTACGAATGAAATGTCATTAGTTGTATTTATGTAGTGTTGCTGAAATATTTAAAAATTTAATTATGGTGCGGAACCGAACCCGAACGGTTCCATAATTATATTTGGATCCGACGGGTCCATTTATTAAATACCCGAAAGTTTTGGGTCGATTCGAGTTTCTTCAGAACCGAACCGAACCGACCCACGGACAGCCCTAATTAATATTGACTTCACATACTTATTTTAAAAATAAGGGCCAAAAATGGAAACATCAGCTTCTTGTACACGGACTGCCCCACGAATATCAAATTCAAATTTCCTACGTCAATTCTCCACTACCTTCCAAGATTTTTTGCACAAAAATATATCTTTATTAAGCTTACAGAAGACCTACTGACTGCCAGGATTTTGAGCTCCCATTAGACGAACAAATAGATGCAACAAAAGATGATTGTAATGATGAAGAATTATTCTTTCTAGACTTTTCTGGATGTATATTTGCTCTTTATTTTAGTTATTACAAACAATTTCGAGAGATAAATTCTCTATGAATCTCGTTTAAATTTTTTAAAAAAATTTCACTCTTTGAATGTTTTATAACTGTAGTCTATGGCTGAAATCATATGTAAATTTATTTTGTTCAATTAATCTCAATTTGCTAACATTGCTTATATCTCCCTTCATTCCTTCATATTCAACAATAATATTACCTTCAAAATAACAAAGTCCGTGCATTACACGGTCATAGCTAGTTTATGAATAAGGATGGTGTATTTTACGAAATATGAATAAAAAATATATTTAAATAGAAATAGAAATAATTATAATTTAATTACTTTATATTGATGCACGAATTCGACACGTTGAATTTTCATTAAAACTACAAGTGTATACGGGCAACCCACCTTATAAAGTGTATGTCGAGTTTTGCACAATCTACTTTTTTCATCTTTTCGAGTAACGCCTCATACAAAGAAAATCTTTGTTGCCAAACCATGGCTCACTACCCATATCGAGCCATATAGTATCTATCCATGCTGATTAATGATTCTTATAATAGAAAAAAAAATTATTATTATTTCGTCAACCAATATTTGGTAGTTGAGCTGAGCATTGAGGGTGCCGTCGGTGAGGGATGTCGTATTTGTTTCTTCTTTTTCTATTATTTTCAATTCTTTAAATTCTTTTTTCGAAATTAAGCTCTTGTTTGGGCTCTTTTTTTTTTTTTTTTTTACAAAAATGCATTTTTTTTCTTTCTTATTTTCAATCACATTCTCTAATAAAATAATATTACACATAAAAAAAATTACTTATTTTTTAACTACACCTTCTCCAAAAAATCACTATCCCAAGACATATTTTTCTCAAATTCTCATTAAAATGAAGCCTAAACGGGGACTAAGGGTTTTCATCCCTGACAACCATTAAAAT